GTTCTGGTCACGCTGGAGGCTGTCCTGCTCCCTTCTCCTATGGGAAAGGCAGGGGGAGGATGATGTGCTGATCCCAGGGCGCTCTGTCCACCTCTGGCCCGGAGCTGGGGCTGATCCAAGGAGCGATGCTTAGAGCTGCAGGGAGCCCCTGCCCCCTCTCTCTTCCCCCCCCCCCAAAAAGTGCTGGGGGCTGCAGGGTGAGGTCTGGTATGGCTGGAGCTGGGGTCAGGGGTCGCGCTGATCCTGTTTTCCTGTTGATTCATGTAGGAGTTCACGGCCACTGGGATGAGCCCAGCCTTCCTGCCACCCCCCCCATCCCCACATCCCCACACTGCGAATGGGGGTGCAGGGCTGGACACCCCTCCTGACCCCAAAATGCACGCAGGAGGAGGCAGAGCAGCTGCTAAAAGCAAACACACTTGAGGCTGGCTTCCTGCAAGCACTTCAGTTGGAGAGGCAGAGCACCACGAGGCATTTCCTTCTCCAACCCCCCCCCCCCAACACAGATCCCAGACCCCCATCCCTTTCTCTCTGTGTAAAACCAGTTCCCTTGGGGGGGGGGAGGGACACACACACACGACACTGGGATATGAGAGTTCTTCAAAGCCATCTGATGGGCGTGCATGGGGTTTGCAGCTCAGGGGGTTTGCAGTTGGGGGGTTGCAGGCTGAGCCCCTCCATTGGTCACTGGGGGGGTGTGTGGGGGGGGAGCTCTCTGTGGGCCATTTGGGGCCGTGTTTGCTGACAAACAGGATTCCTCGAGGGCAGCTGACTCAGCCCAGCCCTTCCTCTCCTCAGCAGCAGTCGGGGGTTTCCCAGGTCCACATCCCCTTCCCAAGGAAGTGGGACCTATATATATCTGTCCGGATCTGGGCCATAGTGATTATGGTTGCATGGGGGGGGGGGGAGGTTGGTTGGGGTCAGAAGCTGCTTAGATTGTTCTCAAGGGGGTGAGCAGAGCTTGGGGGCTGTGGGGGGGGCTTTAGGGAGGGGGGCAGTGAGCCCCTGCCCTGCTGCAGCTGAATGGGTGGCTGTGGGGCAGTGGTGTTGGAGAAGAAGCCATGGGGAGGGAGGAAGAGGTGTGTGGGGGGGGCACGTCACCCACACTCATCCCCAGCACCCCCACGTGCTTTGGGCAGCCCAAAGCAAAGGCAAGTGAAGGAGGTTTAGGGGGCAAAATTGACACTTTTCTGGAGTCCTGAAAGTAGGTTGCAAAACCTCAATGCCCACTTTTGGGAACCTTGATGGGGGGATGAAGCCATTCCTATCCCTCCACGAGGGATATCACCCCAAGAGGGGAGATAATCTCTCCTGAAGGTAGACGACAGCCCCCAGGATGGATTTTTTTCACCTTAAAAACAGGTGATGTGCTCGGATGGAGCCGAAACCCCAAAGTTTGGGTGGGGGGGAGGGGGGAGGGGAGGAAAGAAGCATTGGCACTGGGGTGGCTGTGGATGGGGCACTGCTGGATCACAGCCCTCCCCATGGGGCTGCATGGCCGCAGACTGCTGACGGGGCAGCGCCGTCCCGGAAAGCACCGCAGGGCTGCGGTTCCCAACTTGGGGCCATCAGGGCAGCAGGGACAGATCCCGACCACCCTGATGGGATGGGTTGACTGGAGTGAGGACCGGCCTGGGCCTGATTTGTGGTCAGACAGAACAGTTTTGGTTAAAAGGATAAATAAAGGTCCGCAACGCTGCTCGCTCTGTGGGTTCGTATGGTGTGCGTATCCCCATTGCTGGGACTGGAGAGGATGGGGGGGGGGGGGGGGGTTTGGGGGCAGGGTGGGAAATAAGGGTCCCAGGGGGGGAACCGGAGCCTCTCAGCACCGTGTGGATGGATGGACAGACGGACACAGGGACAGGATGAGCCACAGTGCTCATGGCATCGCCCTCAGCCCTGCCAGATCAACACTGGACGCAGCCATTGGGAAAACCACGGTGGGTTGGGCTGGGGGTGCTGACCCTCCCTGCACCTTACACCCCATCCCACCCCTCCCCACCGTGACGAATGCTTATTTCTTTGCTTTGGCTGCCCTCAAGCCATTCTTTAGCCAACCTTAATCTGTGCTCGGGATCACCCTGACCGAGCTGCAGGACCTTGTGCTCAGCCTCGCTGGACTCCATGAGGTTGGAGGAGGGGGGAGGAGGGGGGTGGGAGAGGGTTTGGAACTTAATGATCCTCTGAGTTCCCTTCCAACCCAAGGCATTCTGGGATTCGATTTATTTATTTATTACAGAATCAGAGAATTGGTGGGTTGATCTGATTTCTTCATTCCTTCATTCCTTCATTCCTTTATTTATTTATTTATTCATTCATTCATTCATTCCTTTATTCCTTTATTTATTCCTTTAGTCCTTCATTTATCCCTTCATCCATCCATTTATCCATCTATCTATCCATCTATCCATCCATCTATCTATCTGTCCATCTATCTATCCATCTATCCATCCATCTATCCATCCATCCATCTATCTATCCATCCATCTATCTATCTATCCATCCATCCATCTATCTATCTATCCATCCATCTATCTATCCATCCATCTATCCATCTATCCATCTATCCATCCATCTATCCATCCATCTATCCATCCATCTATCTATCTATCCATCCATCCATCCATCTATCTATCCATCTATCCATCCATCCGTCTATCTATATCTATCCATCCATCCATCTATCTATCCATCCATCCATCTATCCATCCATCCATCCATCTATCCATCCATCCATCCATCTATCCATCTATCCATCTATCCATCCATCCATCCATCTATCTATCCATCCATCTATCTATCTATCCATCCATCCATCCATCTATCCATCCATCCATCTATCCATCCATCCATCCATCTATCTATCCATCCATCCATCTATCTGTCCATCTATCCATCCATCTATCCATCCATCTATCCATCCATCCATCCATCTATCCATCCATCTATCCATCTATCCATCCATCTATCCATCTATCCATCCATCCATCTATCCATCCATCCATCCATCTATCCACCCATCCATCTATCCATCCATCCATCCATCCATCTATCTATCCATCCATCTATCTATCTGTCCATCTATCCATCCATCTATCCATCTATCCATCCATCCATCTATCTATCCATCCATCCATCCGTCCGTCCGTCCATCCATCCATCCGTCCGTCCGTCCGTCCGTCCATCCATCACCCACCCACCCACCCACCTACCTAATCATCTATTCACTCCACGCCCCCCCCTCTCAGCCCCCTCCCCCTTTCCCGAAGTCCTCCCGCGGCGGTCCGTTCCCCCATTCAACCACCAGGGGGCGCCGTCGCTCCGTACCCCCACCCCCACCGCGTCACCTCTCGTCTCCTCCGTCTCGTCTCGCCGCTTCGCTTCTCCGGCGGGCGCGTGATGACGTCACCACGCACTGACGTCACGGCAGAGACGCCCCCGGCGCCTCGCGCGGCGCCCGCAGTGTCCGCCGCAGAGCGCTGCGAACCGGGAGCGAGCCGAGCCGAGCCGAGCCGAGCCGAGCCGAGCCGAGCCGAGCCGAGCCGAGCCGAGCCGAGCCGAGCCTGCTCTTCCCCTCCCCGCCCTCCGCTCCGCCCCGCCGCACGATGTCGGTCCCGGAGCCCGCCGGCGGCGAGGAGGCGAAGCAGGCCAAGGAAGCGGAGGACGCCGAGAAGTTTTCCTTCATGGCCACCGTCACCAAAGCTCCCAAAAAGGTACCGAGTCGGGATCCGCTCCGTCCTCCGAGGCGTCGAGCGGGGCGGAACGATGGGCTGAGCTGCGAGCGCTGCCGTGCGCCGACACGGAGGGCGGCGGGTTGAAAACCGGCGTGCGGAGCGGAGCGGAGCGGAGGGCCGTGCTGGGAGCTGCGTGCGTCCTGCGGGACCGGCGGGTTGCGGTTCCTCCGTGCGTCCCTGCGGGGCTGCCGGCCGTCCGTGCGGGCGGGGAGCTGCGTGCTCAGAGCTGCGTGCCGGGAGCTGCGTGCTGGATGCGCTGCTCTCGTTGCCTCTCGGTCTGAAGGGGGGGGTTGGGGGTTTTTCTGTTTATTCAAGCTTTAGACGTGGCCCGGAGGAAGGAGCAGAGGAATGCGGAGCTGGGGTATTGCAGTCTCGCACGGGAGGCTCAGGCGTTGTTTTCCCGTTCTTATTGCTGTTGTCTTCCACGAAGCTGGGGTGTTTGTGGGGTGAGGCTGCGGCCGGTTGAGCCGGGAGGAGAGCAAGCGATGAATGCTGGAGCATCCTACGTAGAGAACGAGGGCTGAGCTCTGTGCC